TCCAAATCCTACAGAGACTACACCAAATTACATATGCATTATTAAATAGTTGAAGGGAGAATAGGATGCTGTTAAATAACGAGTACACCAAATGTTCCTAGGCACTGGAGCATTGCAATATCTGTTCTGAAGAATTAAATGTATTAAGCATTACCACTAAATGCTATCATGCCAAAAGAAAATCTATGATGTTCTTCTAAAGCAGCGATTTGGTGTGGAAATCATCATGAGTATACTCAGTCTTGTAAAGAATTGTAAATATGTCGTGGTGACATACATAAGACCCAACATGCTTATAAACATGTTAATGATCTGAGTCTAGTGCACTGAAAAAATTTAGCATACTAAAAATTTGCCAAATTAACCCAAAAGCATAGGCCACAAGGTGTTCCTAGTCACACCTTGAATCTTACAAAAATTCTAGGATCCCAAAATCTTATAAAGAGCCATAGTTTTGATGCCAAGTTTTTAATGATAATAATTCAATATAAAATATATTCAATATAAATCCTGTAATTAGTGTACAGGATCATCTAAAAATTACCATACTACCACAAAAAGTCAGAATAAAGTGTCTGTCTCCCATAATCCTATATATATTATTAGAGGAGATTCTAACCTAAACGGGAGCAATGGAAAATAGACCTGGTAGTTCAGTGAAGCCCTCAGGAGTTGAGCAATTAGACTGACCAGGGTTTTGAATCACAGTCCCACTACTTACTAGTAACATTTCATTTTCTTGTCTGTTTTTTTTTTCATCTGTAATATGAGCATAATAATATCTACCTCCTAAGACTGTAAAAATTAAAAATGCTAAAGATAGTTCTGGCTCAATAAATTATTACTGCCATTACAATATTTTTTAAATTTAATCTATTTTAATATTTCTTCTCTATTAATTGTTCAAACAGGCTGTGCTTCTACCACCACTGAGAATCAGTCCAAAGGATCACTGGAGCTCGACTGCACCTATGTTCCCTCTGCCTCACCACCACCGTCTCGCCTTTCCAAAGGTAACTTTAACAAGAAGCAAGCAAAGTGCTTTTCTGACATTGCATCCATCATCAGTAAACATCTATTGGTACACAGGTCTAGAATTTGGTTAGGTATGTTTTTCTTATCCCTTTGATGCTAGCCATCATTTTGATAACAACCATTTTTGACACATTTTCTTTTTTGAGTTATGGATTCCCGAAACAGGGTAACTCCCAAGATTTTGCAGACGAGATCAAGAAAAGGAGAACATGCCCAGGAGGAACCACCACACCTCTTTGATTGAAACTAGTAGCACAAGATTGACCACAAGAAAATGGTCATCTTATTGTTTACTGACTAGGAGGGGATAATCTGATTTATCATTGGCAGTAAAACCTACAAATTTATGATCACTGATCTGACTCAGTTGGACCCTCTACATTGCTCTACAACCCTTCACCCTTCCTTCTCCTCTTCTTTAGTGGCCAGACTATGTTCATTCCTCCTGAAATCTCCAACCCTATTAACATTGGCTATGCTCACAGCCCCCTGGTTCATTAAGAAAATCTCAAGTGCCCGATGAGAACATTTTCAACCTCTGTGCTTAACCACCTGCAAACTCTCCTGCATTTGGGCCTATTCTCTCCTCCTTCCTTTCTGCCCTAGCAGAGGCCTCACCCTCCTGTCTAAGGCTAATCCCCCTGTCTCCCACTCTGCCTTGTGTCTTCTCAACGTCCTTGCTCTATCCAGTATCTTTCTCTCCTATCTCCAAGCTCTCCCTCCCTCTACTGGCTCTTTCCATTTAATATATAAATATGCTCCTTTTCTCTTATTAAAAAGACACACAAATAAAACAAAGCCCTCCTGACCCCCCTCCCTGAGCTCTCTATTTCCTTCTAGCTTCTGTGGCACTCTCTCTAGCTCATCACTGCTAACCTTCCTGAAAGGCAATTCTCTATTCAGTGACTCTCTGCAGGTACAGCTCACTGCTATTGTACCCACCAATCAAAACACTCCCACTCCCCTCCACATCTTTTCCAAGCAAATAGATACTGAGATCTTTTCACTCAGCAAATAGAGATTGAGTTTCTACTATGCATCAGACACAGATGAAGAGATCTGGATTATATCAGTGAACAGAACAATAAACTTTGCCCTCACTGAGCTTACATTTCACCAGGGAAAACAGACTAGTAATCAATAAATTCAACAAAAACCTAAATTATACAGTATGACAGATGGTGAGAAGTGCTTTAGGAAAAAGAGAACATACAGCGGAGTAAAGGAAATTTGGAGGAAGCAGGCAGGGTGTAGTTTTAAATTGAATGGTCAGGGTACGCCCCATTGAAAAGATGAGATGTACACAACTTAAGGGAGGTGAGAGGCTTATTAGTCAGACATCCGTATGGGGGAAAGAGCATTTCAGGAAGGAGAAACAATGAAAGCAAGGCCTTAAATTGGAGGTGTCATGACAACGAGGCCAGTGACAATGACCACTCCTACTGTCAAATACAGTAGACAATCTGTCCTCACCTATGTGACCTCTCTCTCTGACTGTTGACTGCTTCCTCTTCCTTAAAACTCTCTCTCACCTTGGCTTTGTCTATACCACTGTCATCTGTTTCACTTCCCAACTTTTAGGTTGGGTCCCAACCTCTTTCAGATATTGCTCCTCCTCTGTTTGCTCCATGATAGCAGTTAGGGCTCTTCACATGTTCTATGCCCCTTTATCCTGAGTACAAAGTATGATCACACTTCTCTACCCCTTTTTGAAGTTAGGTGTAGCCATGTGACTTTGGTGTATGAAATGTCAACAGATATGATACGTGTCACTTTCAAGTAGCAGCTTTAAGAGCCAGCATGTGATTTATCACATCTTCTTTTTTCTGCCTGAAAAATGGAGGCAATAACCAACCTATCTCATTAAGTGACTGTAAGCTAATATTCATAAAGCATTTGTAAGAGTGCCTGATGTGTGATGCATAATTATAATTCTTTTATTGGGGTTGTTATAATAATTAAATATCATAATCCATGGAAAGCCCTTAGCATAAAGCACTTAGTATGTGCACATGTGGTCTGGCAAAAGATGTGCTCGTAACTCATGCCCCTACATGGCTTCGCTACGTACAGCTCTCCTAGAGGGGAGCATTAGAATCCTGTTTTCTGACTCGGAAAGAATCATGGGAGCTTGTGTGAGGATGGAGATTCCATTACGAGTAGCAGCAGCCCAGTACTCCACCTCACTGAACAGAGTAGCATGTGTAGGAAATAGACTTTGTTCTCCCCGTTGTGTTAAGGCAATGAGACTTGGGAGTTGTTTGTGCTACCCAGGAGGACATCCTCAGGTCTACACTCCACATAACTGTCCCTGGGTAACCTTATCCAAACCCCTAACTTTAACCACCACCAATATATTGATGACTAAAATATAGATCTCCACCGAGCTCTCTCCTGAGTGCCTCATTAATACATCCAACCATATACTGGATAGCTCTACTCAGTTATCATCCAAGTTTAGATGAATCACATCCAGGCAAGTAATTCCAAAGTAACCTTTTGCTCTACTTTGCTCATCCCTTTAGTTTTCCTGTCCAAGTGAAGGTGCCATCCACGCATCTGGCCACCCAAGCCAAAAACCTAGGCAACTTGAATTCCACCCTCCTTCATCCATCCCCCACATCTAACCAACACAGACCTCAGTCTTGTGGGCTTCCTCTGCTTCCTCTCCTTTTCTTTCACGTCTGTCCCCTTCCCTATTCTCACTGCCCAAGTCCAGGCTTTCATCAAATACACTTTAACATTAATACAAGTCAGGAGTCGCCACTCTCTGATTCCATTTGGTCACCTTGCAATCGATTTCCCACGCTGCTGCCAAAGGTTCTTTCAAGAAGCAAATATGATTGTTTCACTTTCCTTCTTTAAATCCTTTTAACTAGCTCCCCTCAGCTATCCAGATAAAACTGGATCTCTTTATCCTGCCCTCTAAGACACTTTATTATCTAATTCCTGTCAATCTTTCTAACCTGAGCTTTTGCCTTTTCCTTTTACATTGGCACCATTTAATTATCTGCAGTCTCTCAAAAGCAGATGCTGTTAACTATTATTGTTTTTTTTTCCTTTTCTTTTTTTTTTTTGAGACAGAGTCTTGCTCTGTTGCCCTGGCTAGAGTGAGTGCCGTGGCATTAGCCTAGCTCACAGCAACCTCAAACTCCTGGGCTCCAGCGATCCTTTTGCCTCAGCCTCCCAAGTAGCTGGGACTACAGGCATGCACCACCATGCCCGGCTAATTTTCCTATATATTTTTAGTTGTCCAATTAATTTCTTTCTAATTTTGGTTGAGACGGGGTCTCGCTCTTGCTCAGGCTGGTTTCGAACTCCTGAGCTCAAACAATCCGCCCGCCTCGGCCTCCCAGAGAGCTAGGATTACAGGTGTGAGCCACTGCGCCCGGCCTCCATTTTCATCTTATTCTAGTGCCTCATTCCTACAAGGTGCATTGCCAAAAACATTCCAAAAGGGCTTATCAGCTAAAAGCAAAACAGTCACAACATTCTCAAATCTTCTCCTGTGTTCTATTAATAGTTAAAAGAACTATAACTTAAGCATTGTAAAGACAATAAAACAATCTATATTGAATATGGAAAAGGAAGTTATTATGGGAGTCCAGACAGAAAAAAGAAAATAGCAAAAGGTCAAATAGCAAAAGATTCCCAAGTAAGACAAAAACAGGGAAAAACATACAAAACAACCTTTTTCATCTTTATTTTTCCCATCAATTTCCCTTTTCCTTTTTTGTCATTTCCCTTTCTTAACTTACAGATCAAACTAAAAAAAAGTGTCTTAATCCCCCTTAAGTGATATTTATAGCAACATAAAGTAAATATCAAATGCACTATTTTCAGTCAAAGAAACTTGCAAAAGAGATTTTGCAAACATTTTAATTATGGAAGATTTGACATGTACAACACAACAGCAAACTCTGAAGAAAATTAAGTTTCAAGCTATTAATAAAATTGGTTCTGACCTGAATAGATAAGCGTTTTTAGTAAATCCGTGTAGTGTCCTAGATCTGTTTCTTCAATAGTTTTAGAATTAATGCTAAGCTGCTTCCCAATGAAATTTCGGCAAGTTATCTTAAAAAAGAAAGATGAAAAAAAATATTATATAGGTATTTATAGTTAAAAATTTGGCTTACTTTAAATGTTTCTCTCATTTTTTATTTGTCAGAATAAAGAGATACAAAACAATGCTACAAATAAAAGCTGGCAGAATAGCATTTAATCATGAGAACTTTCAGGAAAAAAAGCGGCTACATAATTTTTCATATTTCTTTGGTACAGCACAGCTGGAAGAGCTTAAGGCAAATTATGTCAAGCAATTAGAATATGATTTTCTGTTATTCTATAAATTTTCTAGTACAAATATATCTTCCATTATGTGGGTTGAAATATATTTAAAATATTGGTTGCTTTTCTAATGGCAAATTTTCCACCCTATTCATAATAAATTCAATTTGAACTTCCCTTGTGAAGTTTTGCAGAACTAACTTCCTATGTAGTATTTTGACAATTTATTTTCTAACAGATATCTGAGTCTTAAAATTATAAAATATCTGAAAACAGAATATTTTTAGACAGAAGAAAATTTTTTAAAGGGTCTAAGATCCTCTTTTCTCCATTTCTCTGCCCCTACCCCTTTGAAGTAACCTTAAAATACAGCCCTCCTTGAACCCCAGTCTGAAGTAGATGCTTCTTCATTGCCCCGTATTTCTATAATGAGATGTAAACACAGTCAAATAAAATGGAAATTTCTTCCCACAGTCTAATAAGGCCCAACTTTCCCTAATCTTTCCCACTTCTCTGGCTTCATTAAACCAATCTTTATTGAACACCCATTGTGTTACAAACACTGTTCCAAGCCGAAGGGATAATACAGCAGAGAACAAAAACAAAAATTCCTATTCTTATGAAACTCATTCTAGTGGGAGAAGAGAGATAATAAAGAAAAATAGTGAAGTACAATATATAGTATATTAAAGAATTGTAAATGCTATAGAAAGAAATAGAGCAAAGAGGCACATGATTTTAAATAGGGTAGTAAGGAAAGGGCTCACAGAGAATGAAACATTTAGCAAACATTGGAAAAAGGTGAGGGAAAAATCAATGTGGATATTTGAGGGGGGAACATTCCAAGCAGGGGCAACAGCAAATGCAAAGACCCTGAGGCAAGAATATCTTAAAGAACAGTGTAGTTAAAACCTGCAAGGCAGTAACAGGATATGAGTTTCTGGAGGTAACACAGGGATCAGTTATGTAGGATAAGTTATACTAAGGCCATGATAAAGATGTTCACTTTACTCTGAATCAAATGGGAAGCCACTGAAGGATTTTAAACAGAGGTGTGACATGGTCTGACTTGGGTTTTTTAAAGGTTCATTCTCTCTGCTGCATTGAGAACAGACTGTAGGCTGGAGGTGGGGGGTGCAGGGTAATTAGGAAATCATCACATTAATAGAAGCAAATGCAACAGTGGCTTGGGTCAGAGAAGGAGTGGTGGAGAGAGTGAGAAGTAGTTTGATTCTGATTGCATTTCGAAGGTAGAGGATTCGGTAATGAGTTGGAAGTGAGCTGTGAGAGCAGGAGAGGAACCAGGGATGTCTCCAAGGCATCTGGCCTGAGCAGCCAGGACAGGCTTGTCATTGATTGAGGAAGACTTGGTGGAACAGGTTTGCTTGAAATGTGCTAAATTTGAGAATTGTACTCAGTGTCTAATAGAAGATGTTGATTAGGTAGTGTGATGCTTTCTTATATATCAACCTGGCTAGGGCTAAACTATGAGGAGGAAAAGGAGGGAAGCATCTACTCTGTGGCATACATACTTGATCCTAGTTGTTAATCAAACCCTAACCTAGGTGCTGCTGTGAAGGGATTTTGCAAATGCTAATTAAAGACCCTAATAAATTGACTTCAAATTACGGAAATTATCCTTGGTGGGCCTGGCCTAATCGAGTGATGAGTCTCTGCCCTGTCAGCAGTCCCCGGGACTCCAGACACCAAACGACAGCCGGGTCTTCAATTGTTCTCTCCTCACTGGATCTTCCCTCACCAACTGCCTATGAAGAACAGCTTCTGCCCATGCCTGTGGGGATCCTTCCTGCTCATGATCCTGACTGCCTGCCTTGCGGATTTTGGATATGCTTAGCCAACGCCTCACAAACACATAAGCCAATTCCTCACAATACATCCTTTGACAGATAGACAGACATGTAGATAGTGGATATTGTGAAATATATATTTGGTCTTTGCCTCATTTCCCTGGTATACAACTCCTAAAATCCTTGGAATCTCCGAAGTGATGTATTTTTGTATGCTACTGAATTGACTGATGGCTGGTAGCCCCTAGGATGGGTCTGGTCACCAGAAAGACCAAGGCAGCATTAGGACTTTCAGCCCCACTCCCCAACCTCTAGAGAAGGTAGGGAGGTGAAGGTTAAGTTGATCGCTAATAGCCAATGATTTAGTCAACCATGACTATTCTCCATAAGAACCCAAAAGCACTGGGTTCAGAGAGCTTCCAGAGAGCTAAACATGTGGAGGTTCCTAGAGGGTGCTGCACCCAGGGAGGGTAGGGAACCTTCCCCATACCTTGCCCTATGCATTTCTTCATCTGTTTCCTTTGTAATATCCTTTATAATAAACCAGTAAATGTGTTTTCTAGAGTTCTGTGAGCTACTCCAGCAAATTAATCAAACCCAAGGAGGGTATCATGGAGACCCGAATTTATAGCTAGCTGGTCAATCAGAAGCGCAGGCAAAACAACCTGGGGTTTGCAATCAGCATGGGAAGTAGGGGCGGGGGGAGTCTCATGGAACTGAGCCCTCAACCTGTGGGATCTGTTGCTATTTCCAGGTAGATAGTGTCAGAATTCAGTTGGAGGATACCCAGATGGTGTCCACTGCAGAACTGGTTTCTTGCTTGCTGGTGGGAAGAAATTTCCACACATCTGGAGTCAGAATCATGTTGTGAGAGTGCAAGGGGAGAAACAGAGTTTGTTTTTTCCACTCAATAGATAAGATAGATCTAGCTTACTAGTTCTGCTCCTCTATTTGAACCCTGACCAATACAGGTGGTTAGATATAGCAACACAAAATTCAGGAGAAAGGTCTACAGTGGGGATGTAATGTCAATAGTCCTCATCATAGAGATGGTACCTAGAGCCACAGACTGAATTAACTCATTAAGGGAAAGGATATGGATAGAGAGGACAGGAGGTTCAAGAACAGAGTCTTGGGGCACATTAACATAAGACATCGGGGAGATGAGAAAGAAGAACAAGCAGCAAAGAAGACTCAGAGGTGTGTCTGCCACATTTCAGCCACATAGGCTTTCTTTCTGCCCCATCTCAGGGCCTTTGCCCTTGTTCTTCCCTTGGGCTAGAATGCTCTTTCTCCAGGTGATTGGCTGGCCGCTTCTCACCAAATATCACCATCTCCAAGAGGTCCTCTTGATCACCCCTACCAACGTTTCCACCCTCTCCCACCCAGCCTATCTCTATTCATTGACCTATTTTATTTTCTTCAGAGAACTTATAATGTTCATAAATCTTTTTATTTATCTGTTTGCGTGTTTATTATCTGGTCCTGTTAAACTATTAAACTACATGAAGTAGGCATTCAAACTGTATCATCACCAAAACTGAATATGCAAGAGGCAAGGCTATCGCCATAAGGAACCTTCACGAGAAGAGGAAAATGTAGTCCTTTCTGAGTGAGTGCAACACCACAGCACACAGACTGGTGTGGAGAGCAGGAGCTGGATTTCAGCCCCTGCATATGCCAGGGACCTTTGGGAAGGACGGAGACTGTACAGCTGTATGCAATGGCTCTAATTAGGTGGTCAACACATATTTGTTAAATTAGTAAATGAGAGAATTTACTTATCTCTTTTCTCCACCTGATTCAAGCTATACCATGACTTCCATGGGCCCTAGGCACTTTTGCCTTCATGGGCCATTCCTCCATTAAAAATAAATTAAAAATTATACTTTATGATTATGTTGGTAGAAATAAAAAAATATGAATAACAAAAATACAAACATTTTATTTGACCTAAAAGTTATTTTTTTCTTCTTATTTTAAAAGAAATTAAAACACTTAGTAGGCTCCTGAAAGTACTATGGGCTCTAGACACTGTCTCCATTGTACTTAATGGATAAGTCAGCGCTGACCCAAATAGAAGCTTCTTGTGCACAAGTACTTAATTTCTGTTTACCCTGTATCTGGAAAAATCTGGCACATAGCAGGCTCTCAGTAATGTTTGTTGATTTGAATGATAAATGCCTAAGTGAAAATAATAATATTTATCTGATTTCTAAGTCTTTGTGTATTGTATGTGTACTAATAAGGAATCACAACTGCATGAATAATAGAGCTGAACTTACCTTCTCTCCATATTCGGCCTCATACATTGCACAAGGTTGTTGGGTAATATCTGGGCCCTTGAACTTGCGTATTCTCAGAAGAAGCTGGCGCTGTGCATATACCAGGAGTGGTGTCACTTGTTCTGTATACCTCTCACTAGACAGGGGTAAAGAGTACGTTAAAAAGTAGGCCGGGTGCGGTGGCTCACGCCTATAATCCTAGCAGTCTGGGAGGCCGAGGTGGGCGGATTATTTGAGCTCAGGAGTTCGAAACCAGCCTGAGCAAGAGCGAGACCTCATCTCTACTAAAAATAGAAAGAAATTAATCAGACAACTAAAAATATATAGAAAAAATTAGCCGGGCATGGTGGCGTATGCCTGTAGTCCCAGCTACTCGGGAGGCTGAGGCAGGAGGATCGCTTGAGCCCAGGAGTTTGAGGTTGCTGTGAGCTAGGATGACGCCACGGCACTCTAGCCCAGGCAACACAGTGAGACTCTCCGTCTCAAAAAAAAAAAAAAAAGAGTACATTAAAAAGTAAACATTAGTCAAAAGACTTTTTTTTTCCAATTAAGTCTGTTACTTTCAATTGCCCTTATAGCAGTACTTACTGTGAAATTGTATTGAACTGAATGGCAAGCGATGCTAGTGTTTCCCATTTTTCCACTTGATATAAAACTTCTAGAGATTTTAACACAAAGTCATGGATCCATTTCAAATCAACCAAATTTACATCATCCAAAGGATGCTCAAAAGTAAGGCTAGAACCACCGTTATCGTTTTTAATATTCCCGTAACAGCTTGGAACACTGAACTCTCCTTTGTCTTCAATAGACTGCAAGTAGCACATTGAAAAAGAATTATGTAATTTCAGATTTTACTACATACTTTTTCTGAAAATTGAATGTGATAAAAATGCAACATGGAAAAGAACTGAACCAAAAAGAAAATTAAAATATGTTTTGATTATGCAAGTCAAAGCTTGATAATTTGAGGCAGTACTATCCAACACAAATTTCTGAGATGATGGAAATATGCTACATTTGTGCTGTTCAATAGAGTTCAATATAGTCACTCAACACTTATAGCTACTGAGCTTTTGAAATGTGATTAGTGCCACTGAATTTTTTTAAAATGTTAAGGGGCTTATCAATCAAAGATTTCAGAGAAATACAGTTCCCTTTTTTTTTTCAAAATATTACGGGGGTACATATATTTTTAGTTACATGGATCACTGTTGCAATGCTTGAGTCAGGGTTATAAGTGTGCCCATCACTCAGATAGCATTCATTGTACACATTAGGTAGGTTTTCACCCATTTCCTCCTCCCCCTTCCCCACTGCTTGATTTCCATTGAGTTTTACTTCCTTCTATGCACTTGTGTGCTCATTGGTTAGTTCCAATTTAATAATGAGTACATGTGGTGTTTGTTTTTCTATTCTTTAGATACTTCACTTAGGATAATGATCTCTAGTTCCATCCAAATTTTGCAAAAAGCATTAATTTGCCCTTCTTTGTATTGAGTAGTATTCTATGGTATACATATACACATTTTGTTAATACACTTGTGAATTTATGGGCATTTGGGTTGATTCCACATCTTTTTAATTGTGAATTGTGCTGCAATAAACATCCCAGTGCAGGTGTCTTTTTGATAAAATGAGTTATTTTCCTTTGGGTAATTACCCAGTAGTGGGATTGCTGGATCAAATGGTATGTCTACTTTTAGTTCTTCGAGGAATCTCCATACTGTTTTCCACAGAGGTTGTACTAATGTGCAGTCCCACCAACAGTGTATAAGCATTCCTTTTTCTCTTTATCCATTCCAGCATCTGTTGTTTTTGGACTTTTTAATAAAGGTCATTCTGACTAGGGTAAGATGATATCTCACTGTGGTTTTGATTTGCATTTCCCTGATGATTAGTGATATTGAGCATTGTTTCATCAAAAAGGCAGAAAGCTCACAAATTAACAATCTAATGACAGATCTTAAGGAACTAGAAAAGGAAGACCAAACCAAACCCAAACCTAGCAGAATAAATAACTAAGGTCAGAGCAAAACTAAGCAAAATCAAAAACAAGAAAATTATAGAGAAGATCAATGAAACAAAAAGTTGATTCTTTGAAAAGATAAACAAGATTGACAGACCTTTTGCTAGATTAACCAGGAATAGAAGAGAAAAGACTCAAATAAGCTCAATCAGAAATGAAAAAGGTATTACAACTGATACCCCAGAAATACAAAATATCATCTGTGACTACTGTAAAAATCTCTATGCATATAAACTCAAAAACATAGAAGAAATGAACAAATTTCTGAAAACACACAACCTCCCAAGACTCAATGAGGAAGAAAGAGGACTCCTGAACAGACCAATAAGGAGCAGCAAGATTGAAGCAGCAATAAAACAATCTTCCAACAAAAAAAAAGCCCCAGACCAGATGAATTCACAGCCAAATTTTACCAGACACACAAAGAGTTGATACCATACTGCAGAAATTATTCCATAACATCGAAAAGAAGGGAATCCTTCCCAACTCATTCTACAAAGCCAGTATCACCTTGATACCGAAGCCAGGAAAGGACACAACAAAAAAAGAAAACTATAGACCAGTACTACTTATGAAAACAGATGCAAAAATCCTTAATAAAATGCTAGCAAACCAAATTCGACAGCATATCAAAAAAATAATCCACCACGACCAAGTAGGCTTCATCCCAGGGATGCAAGGATGGCTCAACATAGGTAAATCAAAAAATGTGATTCACTACATAAACAGAAGTAAAAATAAAGATCATGTGATCATCTCAGTAGATGCGGAAAAAGCATTTGACAAAACCCTCAACAAACTAGGGATAGAAGGAACATATCTCAAACTTACAAAAGCCATATATGACAATCCCACAGCCAGCATCACACTGAATTTTTAATTTTATTTAATTTTAATTAATGCAAGCTTAAATTTAAATAGCGATGCATGGCTAATGTTTACTATATTGGAAAGCACCAACTAAGATCTATAGTTTTTGGTATACAATCACAATCCATTTAAGGGTATTAAACCAATAAAGTTTTTAGGAAAAACAGGCTTTAGTATAAACAAATAATGAAGTTCCCTATTACACTGGTTACATATGTTAACTTGTAGAATAATATGCCCAATTCCTTGATGCAAAGGTCAAGCTTATAGAGGATAAAATCTTCCGGAAGACCCTCTTTTTGCCTAAATTAATAAGTTACTATGTAATTATTGTGTTCATTTCCCATGAGTCCCTGATACATTTGTGTATACCTCTGGAAATTCTTAAGGCAAAACAAAGCCCATTAGATTCATTTAATGGCCAAGCTATAGCCCAAAACAGTTGAGTAACTCAAGTCCAGCCCCTCCTATCTCAACAATACCTTTAAGAGTAGCTTTAATATGTCATGATATCAGGTAGTGAATCCTTCAAATTTGTTCTTTTTAAAAAAATTTTTTAGTCATTCACTTTTTTTTTGCACTTGCTCAGAAATTTTTAAATGAACTGTCCATTTATACCAAAAAAAAAATACATATTGGGAATTTCATTGAGATGTCATTGTATCAATAGATCAAATTAGGAATAACTGATTTCTTAATATTAAGTCTTCAGTTCATGAACATGATATATCTCTTCGTTTATTTAGGTCTTCTTTTATTTTTTTTTTCTGTAATGTTTTACAGTTTTCAGTGTAGAAATCTTGTGCAAGTTTTGTTAGATATACTCCTAGATATTTGATATTTTAGATGATATTTTAAATGATATTGTTTTTAAGTTTTCATTTTCTAATTATTTACTGCTAGTATATAGAAATAAAATTTATTTTTGTACATTGATTTTAATCCTGCTACTTTATTAGTTCTAGTAGTTGCTTTGTAGAGTCCTATAGAGTCAAGATTTTCTGTAAAAAATCATTTTGTTCACAAATAAAAACAGTTGTATTTCTTCCTTTCTAATCCATGTGCCTTTTATTTCTTTATCTTGCCTTATTGTACTGTCCAGGATCTCTGACATGATGTTTAGGAAAAGTGCTATGAGCAGACATCCTTGCTATGTTTCCAATCTTCACCATTAAGCACGATGTTATCCGTGGTTGTTTTCTATTCCTAGCTTGCTGCGAGTTGTTAACATCAATTGACACCAAATTTTATAAATACTTTTGCTGCACCCATCTCAATGGCCATATAATTTCTCTCCTTTAACCTGTTAATATGGTGAATTCCATTGATTGATTTTCAAATGTTAATCTTACATTTCTGGGATAAACTCTATTTGATTATCATTTGCATATGTGTATATTTTATATATTATATCATTTACATATTTTATATATTTCTGGGATTGATTTGCTGGCATTTCATTAAGGAGTTTTGTGTCTATGTTCATGAGGGATATTGGTTCATACTTTTCTGGTTGATATCTCTGTCAGAATTAAGCTGGCCTCATTTCTAAAAAAAAAAAAAAGTATAACAGGGAAATATTCTGGGTTTGGAGTTTTATGTAAAGGTTTCTGATTATGAATTCAGTTTTATTAATATATTTAGGGTAATTCATATTTTCTATGTCTTCTTGTGTCAGATTTGTTAAGTTACACTTTCCAATAAATGTGACCATTTCACCAAAGTTGTAAAAATTGATCATAGTATTCCCTTATTTATCTTTTAATATCTATAGGATCTATAATTATATCCCTCTCTCATTACTAATTTATCAGTAATTTGTTTCTCTTGCTGTTGTATTTGTGCATCAGTATTCTTAGGAGGATACCAGTTTTAATAACCTTTCAAAATATTAATTTTTTACTTTATTGATTTTGTTTTTGTGTTATATTAACTGATTTCTGCTTTTCTGGTTTTGTCATTTTCTTCATTTCTTTTTCTTCTTTCCTTCCTTCTTTTTACTTGCTGTGGTTTTAATTTTCTCTTCTTTTCCTAGCTCCTGTAAGTGCAGACTTAGATAATTGATGTTATATTTTTCTTCTTTTCTACTAAGCATTAAAAGCTATAAATTTCCCTCTATGCACTGCTTTATTTGTATCCACAAATTTCAATATGTTATCATTAGCTTTAAATATTTTCTGATTTCTCTTGTTTTCTTCTTTGATCCATGAGTCATTTAGTATTGTGTTGTTTAATTTCCAGATATTTGGAGATTTTTCTTCCTGTATTGTGGTAATCTGTTTAAAATTTAATTATGTAGTAGTGAAACTGCATACTTTTTAAAATTTTAGTCTTTTAAATTCTATTAAGACTTACTATATTTTTTGACTCTACATATGATCCATCTTGGTGAACACACACCATTTGCATTTGTACTCTTTCTATCCACCTGGGTTTACGGTACTTCGATTCTGACATTAATTTCCCAGAGTTAGCTCAGACACCACAGGTTTAAGTGTTCCATCCTCCAAAAAACTGCCCTCACTTCAGATTGCCAGCCGTAAATGTCAAGGTCACTCACTCTTCTGACTGATCAGCTATGAATTTAAGGTTTCCCATAACACCATCAGGTTTGATAATTTACTAGAATTACTCACAGAAATCACTGAAAGCATTATACTTATAAATACAGTTTTATTATAAAGGAAACAACTCAGGAACAGCCAAATGAAGAGGTGCATGGGGCACAGTCTGAGAGGATCCTAAACACAGAACTTCCATGCCCTTTCCCAGTGGAATCAGGGCATGTTACACTCGTGACACATCAGTGCGGTCATCAACAAGGAAGCTCTTCAAGCTTTGGGTGTCCAGAGTGTATTTTAAATTTGTGTTATTAGATGCATACACATTTATGATTGGTATGTCTTCCTCATGGATTGAGTCTCCTCTTATTATGAAATGTCCCTCTTTACCTCTCATAATGCTCCTTAATTCGAAGACTATTTTTTCTAATATTAATATAGGCTCACCACCTTTATTATGTTTACTGTTTTCATGACATATCTCTTTTCATATTTTTATTCTCAATCTATCTATTTCTTTATTTTCAGAGTGTTTCACTTGTAGACTGGTATACTTGTCTTTTTTATCCAGTCAGACAATCTCTGCCTTTTAATTGGGGTGTTTAGCCCACTTATATATAATATAGTTATTGATATGATTGAGTCAGATTTAATATTTACTATTTGTTTTCTATTTTCCCCATATGCTTTTTGTTCCTCTGTTCTTTCTTTCCTGCCTTTGTTTGAGTTAATTGACTATTTATTGTATTTCATTGGCTTTTTAGCTGTATCTCTCTTTTGGTAGTTACTGTAGAGATTAGTAAATGCATCCTTATTTTATCACATTCCACTTAGAGTTAATATTGTACTACTTTATATAAAGTGTAAAAAACTTATAATAGTTTAATTTTATTTACCCTCTCTGTCTTTTGTGCTACTGTTGTTAAATATTTTCCTCTAGAAATGTTAAATATTTTCTTCTAGAAATGGCTATAAATTCTAGCAGACATGAAGTAATAGAACAGGGACAGATAAAGCAGTGGAATAAAGATCAACTGACAAGCTATGTGATCTCTCCTGGGATCTATTTCTTTATCTACCAAAAAGATTGTCATGAAGATTAAATGCATTAAGGTTAATTTATGTAGGACCTGGAGCTCAGTAAATGTTAATTTCCCTTCCCTTTAACAAACTAAATTTTCAGGGTAAGATATTTTTAATTAACACCAATACAAGTTATATATTATAAAGAAAATAATAATGAGAAGCAAATGAAATATAGACAAAATAAATGAGAACTCAAGAAAAATATCAATTTCTACTTATCCCAAGCTGCAAAGTACAAAGATATCTTTAATTGAATATAATAAAAATAATTACCAAAATGTTCTTACCTTAATAGAATTGGTATCTTGTAGCTGTATTAGCATGTCAATAAGTAACTCTGCTCCCAAATAAAATGGTAAAACAGAGGTACAGAGAAAAACATCCTGGCTAATAGGAAATGTTTTATAAAGATCCACTGCCTGTTTAAGAAGTATTTGTAGCTCCTGAGTATAGTTCCAAAAGGCCCGACAGCAGTTCTGAAGCAGAGTCCAATAGCCACCACGATGAGCAAGAACCTAAGACAAACACATTCGAAAAACCTCTAAGTTCCAAAAGTTACAGATATCTGAACAACTTCATCTTTCTGCAAATATTATATGTCAATAATTAAAAATAACTAACACTATTTGTTAGGTGCCACTTATATGTGCTAGATACTGTGTTAAGACATTTATATGCATTATCTCATTTAATTCTAACAATAACTCCTATAAAGTAAGTATGCACTAGTATTCTACTCAATTTGCAGATGAGGAAATGGAGGCATGGGGCTAACTTGCCCAAGGTCATGAATCTACTATGTGGTGAGCTCAGATTTGCACACCAGTGGTCTGACTCCAAAAATCCCATTGTTCTATGTGCTGAGGATACAGCAGTGAGCAAGGGAAACTGAGTCTGCCCTCGTGCTACTTAAGTTTATTTGAGAAGACCAATGCTAAAAAAGTAAACAAATAAAAATATAATTTCAGGACTGGGCACAGTGGCTCACGCCTGTAATCCTAGCACTCTGGGAGGTCGAGGCAGGAGGATCATTTGAGCTCAGGAGTTCAAGACCAGCCTGAGCAAGAGTGAGACTGTGTCTCTCCTAAAAATAGAAAGAAATTAACTGGACAACTAAAAATATATAGAAAAAATTAGCCGGTCATGGTGGCGCATGCCTGTAGTCCCAGCTACTCAGAAGGCTGAGGCAGAAGGATTGCTTGAGCCCAGGAGTTTGAGGCTGCTGTGAGCTAGGCTGAAGCCACGGCACTCTAACCCAGGCGACAGAGTGAGACTCTGTCTCAAAAAACATAAAACAAAAAAAATATAATTTCAGAGAATAATAAGTTTTATAAAGAAAAATAAAGTAGAAATGGGTTGGAATTTGAGGGACATGTCCTCAGAGGACATGTTATTTCAGGCAGAGTGGTCAGGAAAGAAGAGGTGGTGACATTTGAGCAGAGACCTGTTGAACTGAATGAGTCACGTGAAGGTGGCAGTCAGGGTGTTGGGTGGAGAAGAGTGTTTGAGCCTCAGGGAACAGCCAGGAGGGAGGGTGAAACTGAGGGCCTAGGCGGGAACAAGCTTAGTGCTTTCAGGACTGCAGAGCGGGGAGTGAGCTGAACAAGGGCAAGAGGTGGAGGAGCTGAGATCTGCGAGGCATGCAGGACCAGCTTTTCTCAGGCCCTGAAGCTGGTGGCAAGGAGGATAGAATTGGATGCTCAGGATCACAGGGGATGATTTGGGTTTACTTTATATTTTGTAAAATCATTCTGTCCATTCCATGGAGAATAGGGAACTTAAGTGTTTCTTTCTTATCTACAAAGGATAGATTTCCCCTCATCTCTTGAGAGGTTCGTTGTATATGCTCTTCTGCCTATGAGAAAAAAAGAAATTGATTTCTTTGTAGCTAATAACTCCAATTCTGGTTTTAATAATCTATCACATAATATTTTAAAAGAAAAAGAGAGAAAAGCATTTTAGAGAAGACACAAGTGACCGGAAGAAGCAGGAAGTTGGGGCTGGGAGCCAGGCTTTCCTGTAGCCTGGAAACATCTTTCCCTGTGCTAGAGGGAAGCAAGAGCTCTATGGTACCCCCGAAAGAGATCAAGATTCCCTAGGCTTTTGGTGGGTGGAGGGTGGATGACAGATGACTAAAGGAATTCATCCTCTCCCCCTGACAACTTGACAATGCATGTCTCAGTATCACAGCAGGCACACATCAAAAGTGACTGAGGCTAAATCCAGCAAAATGAGGTCTCAAAGTCAAAACTAAAACTATGTACAGTAAGTAAATACAATATATCATATACGCACAAGTTTATGGGCTGAGATTTACGTCTACTACATTAGCAAATAAGGATTGCATTACCATTGCTCTCCTGCAATACGAAAAGATTTTCATAAAATGATCCAATAGATCTAAATTCGCTCGATCCTTTTCTTTAGTACCAAGACCTGATTGAGAGTCTGACTTGTAAACAGTTTGTGTCTTGGACATAGGTTCATCACTCATTTTGGAACTAGCAAATGTAGAAAATTCTTCAGCATCTACAGTACAAAAATAAGGTATAACATGATTAAAAACATAGAATTAAGTTCCAGAAAACATAGTAGGTGATAAGCATAAAATGAGTAATTCAGATAACAAATGCTACGTAAATCTGGAGAGAGGACAAGATTATCACAGACACAATCCACCAAGGAAAGTTTCTAGAAAAGGAGGCACTTAGGTCTAAAAGGATGGGCATTATTTAGCTATATGAGAAAATACAGGGAACATTTCAGACAAAGGCAATGGCAAAAGGAACAATGTAGAAGTAGAAATGTACTTTTTTTTTAAGGGAACAATGACAAGATCCCATTGTTCCTTAATTTCCTCCCAAACAAGCCATTCCTGGGACACATACATTAGAAAGTGAGAAGCATCCCCTGGAGTTAGGCAGTGCAGCAACTTTGACCACTCATTCCCCCTGTTGGGGTGGCATAAAAGCAGGCCAATTGCTCTTGCCACCAACTTTCTCTTAGAACTCTACCTTATATAATAAGTGTCAATAACAGAATACTCTAAGGCCAATTTCTAAAAAAAAAAAAATCAGGAAGCCATATATTATAATCTATATACAAAAAACAGACTCTGTCTACGTCTATGGAATTTACTTCCAAATGCTTCTATACACGCATAGTATGATGTGAAGGTATTAGTTAAACCTAATCTAATTTTGAGAAGAAATTAGAAAGCATGCCAAGTACCTCAACCGTGAATCAACACTACTGGGGCAGTTAACGAGCATACCAAGAACCCTGATCAACAGTAAGGTGCATAGCACTTAAAATGCCACCATTAAAAATCTATATAAGTGGGTTTGTAATAGCATAAAGATATTAGAAATAAGTTTTTATTTGTGAAATGAGTGGTATTTAAGATTGATTTTTGGCTAGGAACAGTATCCAGGCTTCATCGCCTTTTCAGCAAAGGAGCATAAAAATTAGCCAAGGCTGGCAGACTACAGTCAACAGTGCAGCACTTGGTTTAAGAACACTGTTCACCTGCATGTCTCCACCTTCCGGAGCCCCCATCGCCTGACCAGATAACACCACTTCTTGATCCTGCCATCAAATTATTATTGCATTCATCTTGGAGTAAGCTTTCATGGAACGTGCTAGTTGGAAATCCTAGGGCAGAAGTGGATTGCTCTAAATATAAAATCAGCTATTATGATTGTTTTCACATGCACTTGTATCAGTACGTTTGATGGAATTTGTTTTGAAACTTACTTCCGCTATAATATAACCCCTAGTAGCAAATCTTCACCTATTTTGAACCACTGGAGGCTGCTAATATTTAACAAAAGAGCATTACATTTGTTGAACAGCCAAATTGGTTTAGGTTGGAACAATAAAATAGGTATTTCCAAATATATATGATGATACCATAAAAATGTAGAAATTTTTTTTAAAATAGAGCAAACGAGAATCTTCTACAAAAACATCTGCACTCGAATGTTTATAGCAGCACAATTCACAATTGCAAAGATGTGAAAACAACCCAAGTGCCCATCAATACATGAGTGGATTAATAAAATGTGGTATATGTATACCATGGAGTACTACTCGACTACAAAAAGCAATGGTGAACTAGCACCTCTTACATTATCCTGGAAAGAGCTTGAGCGATCCTTTGAAGTGAGGTATCACAAGAATGGAAAAACAAGCACCACATGTACTCGCCATCAAATTGGTACTAACTGATCAACACTGAGGCGCTCACACGGTAGTAATATTCATTGGGTGCCAGTCAGGTGGTGGGGGTGGGGGAGTAAACTCACAACTAATGGAGGCGGAGCTCACTGTATGGGGGAAGGGCACGCTTGTAGCCCTGGCTTGGGTGAGGCAAAGGCATTACAGGTAACCAAAATGTTTGTACCCCCATAATATTCTGTAATTAAAAAATATCAAAATTCAATGAAATTACTGGGGCTTTGAAAAATGGTTTGTGTACCTCTTGTGTCTATGATGTGTGTGTATGTGTGTGTGTTGTGTTAAGAATAAAAACCTAGAGAAAATTTGATAGTAAATTAAGATTTATTTTACCTGATGGTAAGTTGGTCCTTCGTCTTTTAGCTGTAAGAAGGAAATCGAGCATTGTTTTATAATTTTCTACAGTCAATTTTGCTGTTGGTAATACTGTTCCTGAATTATATAGTGAGAATGTATTAGGATCACATGATCGGAAACTGCAAGAGGGAAAAATCATATTAAAAAACAATATAAGCAAAATTAAATAAATCTGTCAAATACCATCCATTTTTTATTTTTTAAAACATTTGTGAGTGAGTGCTTCCAAATTTTGGATCATAAAGTATTTTGGCACTTAAAGTATAACATTTTCCCTTTTAACTTTTAAAATTATACAATGTAACTTTGCTCTTAGGAATTTTAACATCAATATCCATTTCCCTGAAAGGGCCCTTGAAAATGGGAATTAAAAATCTGTACTGACTCCATGAGCTCTGAAACAATAACTTATGTCAATTTAAAACCACCTGATCTAAACATAGCTCAATGAAGATGCCTACTGTATAGAGCAATGCGTCCACAAGCAGTGCTGTTTCTTTTTAAAAATAAGGCATGAGCAGTAAACAATCTTCCACCAAAACTAAACAAACAAGTACTGAGTATACATTAACAGTTTTAATAAAATCAAAGTTAGCACCAAGTTACCCCGCCACGAATTTGGTCATTGTCTTATTGTGTTGCCAAGTCATTGTGCATCAATTGTCATTTATGATTGGAAGTTTAGAGACTCCGCGGTGTTCAGAGAACAGTGAGGAAGCCCCTCTGGCCTGAACTGTTTTCCCTGTCATGGCCCCACGAATGGGTCACTTTGCCAAAAGCCTTCCCTGTTGGTCAGGCAAGCTAACTGCTTCCTGAATGCAGATCTGCTCCAGCCCACAAAGAAAAGGGAGCTATTAAATATCTGTAAAAGTCTTTGCAAAGGTTTCGTCCGGCAGAACTGAATTCTAGAGAAAGAGAAACTGGGACCAAGTTTATTGTGGATTTCAACCTGCATTTTTCTTCACTGCGTTATTGAAATAAATATCTTCTTAATTCATATCCCTGTCTTCAGTCTTTCCTCTTTCCAATCCATTTGATATGTCGCTGCCAGAGGCATTTTTTATCACAGCCCTGCTCAAAAACCCTCAATAATCTTCTACTATATATAAATAAAGCTTAGATTTAACAGACATTTAAAACATTATGATCCAGTACCAATCTACTTTTCTAATTATTTCACACCACTTCCTTTCATACACCCTAGATTCTGGCCAGACTATTTGTGGTTTTCATCCTGTGTTTACTACCTGGGCTTGGCACACATTCTTTCAACTAAGTAGAATACCTACTTCCCTATCTGCACATTTCTAAGCCTTGTCTATCCATCAAGACCCAAGCCAAGTGTCCTCTCTCCATGAAACCTTTCCTGTTAGCCCCAGCCGGAAGAAAGCCTCCTTCCAGGAACAAAGAAGACCTAATGTGCTTTTCACCTTCTATCATTAACTATAGTTATTCATGAGTATTTATGACTCATCCTGCCAGACTCTAACTTGTACATCCTGTTCATCTTTGCATACCCCTAGCATCTAGCCTAGTGCTTTGTATCTAATAGGTACTCAACAAGTACTTTTTTATGAATGACTCTACAGTATCTTTTTAATGGTTACATAGTATTCCATATCATATACACATCTCCTATTTTTATCACCCACAGTACTTAGCCAAAGAAACTCAGTAGGAGCTTAAAAATGTCTGTTGAATTAATAATAGAAAGCTTACATTGTATGAGAAAATATGATCTGTTTATAGACACACTATACCTCTAAATGAAACAGACCTTCGCCTAATACTAATATCCATAGTTATTATATAACTCAACTTAAATTTTTTTGGAGTTACACTTTATCCATGCACTGAAAGCTAGATTGACAAATATAGTCAAGATTTATGCAAATTAGTACTTCATAAGCACTTACATCCAGAACTTGTTTTGGAAAAATTCTGATATAAAATATTAAGAAATACACCAGTGGCCAGTATAAAGACAGAGGCACTCTGTAAGCCTCTTTAAGTTGTTATTAGCATTATAGCTCTGAACAATGAAATACAATCCAGTTCATGAGGCTAAAATAATATTATTCATCAATAATATACTATACCTGACCATCATATGGGAAGTGCCAAATTTCATTTTCACACGCTCCCCTAGCTTTTGTAAAAGCAGGTTAAAATGTGCGCTTGCCAGATACAGGTTCATTTGCGCTCTCCAGGGCATCTCTTCAAGAAATATCTGATGGAACCTTCTTCTTCTAACAAAATTTGATATTATAGGATTCAAGAGCTCTATCAGCCATCGATGTGCTACTTTTCTAACATCAGCTCTCTTATTTCTGCCAAGGAAGAAAGAAGTTTTGAAATTACGCAAAAACATTCAGATATTTAATAAAGAAGAATCGTTCTAATTTGTACAAAATACATCAAAAAGTCATTTGACTGCCCTTGTGCAAATGTTTCTGGCTTATTTATCATTTCCTCGGTACTAAAAATGTGAAATAGGGCAGTAAAGAGGGCACGAGGATAAGCACCAGGGACAGAGACACACGTTGCCTTCAACTCTCTCTAATGTCTGTGTTCCCATCTCAAACCAAACAGAGCTTTTCTTTTCCATAACCAAAAGGCCACTGAGATTAGACAATCAAATTATGACATAATGTTCACATCCATCAACGAACTTCAATATTAAACAAGAAAAGCATTGCTCTGTATGGGTCCTTAAGGAAAAAAACAATTCAGCAAAATTTTGGCTAACATCAGTTAGACTCTAGAGGAAACAAAACATCAGTCGAAGATAGATGATATAATTTCATAAATGCATATTCAATGTGCTCCAGAAAAAATACACAAATTTTAGCTAATAGTTCAGATTTCAAGTATAACATATTCAATTTTTTTAAAATCATTCCCGTCAAAACTCAAAGCAGTCCGACTAGTTTTAGAGTTACAGAGTTATTTATATAGCATGACCTCATATCTTTAAAACACTTTATCAATTTTTTCAATACTGTTGGCAATGTTGCTGCCCCACTGGTCAGTACCATTTTACCTGATTTACACTGTTCACTTATATAACTATCAGTCTGAATCTGAATCAACACACACACACACACACACACACACACACCTGAGGTCTGTCTGGAAAGAATCTGAATCAACACACACACACACACACACACACACACACACAGAAGAAAAAACAAACAGGGATGGAAGGAAGTAGAGAAGACAGACAGATGTTGCAAGAGAAGAGCAGACATTTTGAGGAAGGAAGGAAGGAAGCTTCCTCTTCACATGTAGTGTTTACATTATCATTCACTTCCAAATATTTTGTATTTTGTTGACGATTTCCTTTTAATCTGAGGTTTTTGGGGCTCTTTGTTGTTGTTTGGTTGTTTTTAGTGATATGTCATTTGGTTTCCCAACAGATGCGAATCTTTTTAAAGACTGTATCTTAAATGTTAAAAATGTAATTTTCAAAATAAAAATCAACCTTGTCCTTGTGCGAGGACAACAATTCGCCTCAAAAGGCCAAGAACAGTGAACAGGATCAGCTGCACCTTCCCTGCCACGGAGAGTGAGATAGTTAGGGAGATTGGCTTCCTCCAGGTATCATGGCAAGGAAATGATAGGCTCCAGGTGGCTTGGAAGGGTGTTCACAGCCAGCCCACAGAGGGCAGAGAAGGGTTTTCCTTCTATCAAACAACCAGAGCACCTCCATGAGCAACAGATCTGAGGAGACCCAACAGAGAGGAAGCTCAGAACCTTGGTAAGGAAAATCAGCAGAAATGTTCAGTGATATGGAGCCATAAGACAAAGCAGATAAAAAGCTGAATTTAGAAAATATTAAGGAATCCTGAAACTACCTCTATATATTCTAGCTTAAGGAAATGAGCTCATAGATTGACATTAATGGAATCAGGATTCTCACCATTAGGGGAAAAGAGTTACAATTAGGAAAGAGAAAAGAATGGAAAGTACCCTGTGGTTTTGAATTGACATTGGAAGTATTAGAATAAACTTATGGTTTTAGATAGATACAGAGATATTTATACAGCTATATTTAGATAGATACATTTAGACAGGCAGATATAGATATATACGTGTCGATAGATTTGGATGGATAGATTTATGTGGACAATTATATTTTCTAGCTCTGTCTTTTGAGAGGGCCTAGAAAGCACAGCCAAATAGCCACCAACAACCCCCGCAACTTAGAGTTTAAATACCAGTTTTCACTAAAAGGAATCAACTGCTTCCAGGGCTGTCCAGGGTAGGTACAAGATGAATGTCTTAGACTTTTGGTAAATAAGAAGGAGATCAAAAAAGTGATAATGATGGGAACATGTCAAAAAAACTAAACAGCTGTCCTTAAAGAGTTCCTGCTGGCCAAATATAGGACAATTTGAGAATCGAGATAAATGGTAAATAATGTTAATTTGATAAAAAGTACACACAAGAACAAACCTACCACAAAGATCATTGTTACTGATAAAATGTTGAAAGCTTGAAAGCTTTCCCTCTGAAATGGGAATCAGACAAGGATGCCCACTAACATCATTCTTCCCAGCACGGTATTGGTGGGTCTAGCCAGAACAATAAGGAAGAAAAGGGGGAAAATGGTACAAGGATTGGAAAGGAAGAAATAAAATGGTCGTTAATTATAAACAATTTCATTATAT